TCTTGTTAGCCCAGCCCAGCCTCTCCTTCATATTGCTAGACTTGTGAGTTATCTTGTTAGACCAGCCTGGTTTTTCCTTCACAAGCTCTTAGATGCAAAAACAAAAGGCTGTCCTGCCCCTGGGGCCCCTAGATTATAGCTATTCACAGATTTTTACTTCCTGATAGGCAGGGTCAATGCCCCTACTCAGCCTTGAAGCAGTTTCAGAAGACCTTCACCTCTCTGCAACCCCATAAGAGTATAAGAGTAAAATCTCTGAGGGGGAAATGAGACAGGAAGAGGGCAGGGCACAGGCATTCAAGGAATACTATGGCAGTTAACATCAACATGGTGAAAGATTCAGTGCCCTTGAGGCTCAAGATGATGGGAGATTTAACTTCTAGTAGGCCTTAAGCTTCATTGTATGCTTATTGTAATATGTTAGCATGATGAATAACATGCCTAAGGGGCCGTGACAGTCCCAAGGCTAGCCACAAAAAGTCAACTTCTGATGTTACCTGTTGAAAAAGACACCATTCCTTTAGCATTTTCACTTTAAAAGAATCTAAAATTGTCTTCATTGGTTGAATTCTTAAATGATTTACAAGTCTTAAGTATATATACTGTGTAGATATATAGTTTCTGGAAATTATAAGGGCATTCTACTTTTACTTCCTGGGCTGTTTAGGGAACATGGATCATCATTTACTTTGGTCTTATTTTCTTGGATCTAAAACCTAGTGCAGTAAGAACCTGTGCATATATTGTTACATGACAGTTTCTACCTCATTTTATTCAAGCAACCAATCAAAAGAACTAAACAGAAAGTTCTCCTTTTTTCAAATTATTCATTTTCTCATCCAACTTTTTATTATGTCTTAATCTCCTGATACCCATAAACATTTCAACAGATATTTATGGTCAGAAACAAGTCTATTAAAGGAAAGAAGTATGCTTATGGAATAACTTAGAACTAACATCGCAATCACTAAATCTTTAGGAATATCAATGAGAACAATTCAAAAGACACAGATAATTTAAAGCTTTATAAATCAATGTTGCATTTTACTTCAGATAGCCTGGTTCTTCATGTTCAAGGAAGTAAAAGTGCATTCATCAAACCTGGGCACTTCAACTGAATCTGCCAACAGATTTTCTCTCATCTGTTTGCCTACGTAATCAAGACGCTGCAGACATCTTATCTCCACTTCCTTGTGGAATGGTTACAGCATCCCTGGGGGTCTTTACCAACATAAGAGTTTACACCAGCACAGGCGACAGATGCAGGAGGCGGTGCAACCTCCCAGGTTGCTTTTCCTCTCACATGCTGCCCCTTGGAGCTGTAGCCTCCCTCAGGTTAGCTCTTCAGGAGGCAAAAGTAACCACTGCTTACAATTTTGCCGAGTTGTGAGAAGTTACTGTGTCCATGGCTCAGGGGTTTAGCCTGCGCAGGGTAACAAAGCTGAGACCCTCCAGCAAAGCAGTTCTATTCAATGTGCAGCATTTTAAAGAACGGAGTTTTTCAAACCACTGGGTTGTAATATGTGTTAATTATCTAAGGCTGCCATATCAAATTGCCACAAACTGGGTGGCTTAAAACAAAGAGTTTTATCCTCCTACAGCTCCGGAGCCTAGAAGTCTGATCCTGAAGTGTCAGTAGGGCCACACTTCCTACAAAAGTTCTGAAGAATAAGTTCCTTGCGTTTTCCAGCTTCTCATGGTTCCTGGCTTTCTCTGCCTTGTGGCTACATCTCTGCCTCTGTTACTCATATTGCTTCCTCCTCTCTCAAAATTCCCTCTGCCTTTCTTATGAGGATACACACTATTGCTTTTAGGGCCCACCTAGATGATCCAGGATAAGCTCTTTCTCCCCAAATCTTTAATTTAATGTTTTGCTACATAAAGTAATATTCACAGGTTCTGGGGATTAAGACATGGATTTATCTTTTGGGGGGACATTAGTCATCCACTTCATAATGTATTATTCATTTTCAATTTGAACCACTCTTTCACCCTCTCTAGTCACTTCTTTTTCCATTATAAAATAATTTTTGGTAAGTTTTCTTCCATTTAATCATTCACTCTTGGTCCATCCCTCAATCTATTCCATCATCCTAGATTTACTGGTTTTCTTTTCTGGATCAAGCTGTGTGCTAGGATCTAACCTTGTATGTTATTCATTCATAATGTAAATGAATGAATGTGCCTAGACATTTCGAAGTATTTAAAAATATTTTTTCCAAAGTCAATATTGGGGCATCTTGAACCTGTGATAAAGTGAAATCCATCCTTTAATGTTGTGATCTGCTAAATGGCCCAGAACTATTTGTTGATATAGAAATATTTATATCCCTGTATTTATACACACATACTTGGAATTTCACATTTACAAATGGGCATATTCTAATAAATTCGTATGTCACATTTATTTTTAGAGCTTGCAAAAATTCTCTCATAGAAAAATATGGTAAGTGGTGTTCGAGTTCCTGCCATAGTTCACAAGGGCTTAAACCACAAAAAAATTAGGCTTCACTGTAACAGTATTGGTAAATAAAATAAACAAAAGTACATAGTATTCTGTAGTATTGTAGTTAATATTCTTTAACATGGACAGTGCACTACAGGCTAGGCTGGTCACTGTTCCCAGTATACCTTTGCTTACTTTCCTTTTTTTCCTTTCCAGGAGACTATTCTTATAACCTTTCTGTCTTCTCAGTAAATACAACCCTACTCTCCCACCTCCAAACCCCCAAGCACATCACAGACTCATGATGTAAATGAAGAAAGCAGGTCTTAACTATTGAGCTTTCCTGGGAGCTAAAATGAATATAGACCCGAGGGCTCTAATGCTTTTTAGTTCAATTCTGTACATTTTGATGGGCAGTCAGATCAAGTCCACTTTCAGATGACTAGTGACAGTCATGACAAGCAAGTTGGAAGAGTGTGCTTAAATTTGGTAGAACAGTTAAAACTATAAAAATTAAAATTTTCCTTAATTAACTTGGGTCTCAGGCAGTAAACAGAATTGTCTTCAAAGATCTGTTTTGTGGGCAAAGAATACATGCATAATGAATGCATGCATCCTTGCATATATTAGATTCCCTAGCTCTCCTCTGTGCAGCTTCAAAGGGTTCTGAATTGTGGGAAATTCATAAACAGTACAACTTCTGACATGTTTTAGTAGAAGAAGTAAAAGGCCTTTCAAAGCTTCTTCCAGACTTTTGATTCTATGGACTCATTGATTTCTTTATTTTCCTGAATTATACTGTCTTTGGAATTACATTTTCTTTTCTCCTCTTCAAAACTGTATTAGATTGTATATGGAGATACTGAAACAATGAGGGGACCCGAAGATTGATAAATACACACTGGAAACAAATTGATGCCTGGGGTTCTTTCCTCTCCTTCTAGGGGGCAATCCACAACAGGTTTATTCCTCTCTGCAGCTGTTGAAATCCACTTATTACACCCCAAGGATTTGGAATGGGAGAATGGAGCTAGCGTTTCTTCTGATCTCAGCTTGTCTTCTAGTTCAAAAAATAGGATTTGGATCATATAATAAAGAACAAGTGAAAATCTTGCAGAGGGAGCATGGTTTAAACTAGTCAAAGTTAAAAAAGGGTCAGCAAAGAAAGAATGTGTATAAGAACAAAAAGATTGAAGAACAGGGTGTAGTTAATTTTATGGAATATTTTTATTTTGGAGGGTTAATGAAAAAAAGCAAGGTGCTTCACTTGTATCAATATGTGAAAAACACTTGTCTCTGAAGGATTCTTATTGCTTTGGCATAATAATATATAAACAAGGAATGAAAGTACATCACAGCACTTAAATTATCCCATAGTTTAATAGACTACATTCTCTTACCCTTGCAAATATTCCTAGGGATAAAAATTAGATCACCATGTAAGTAGTTTTCCTAGGGAGCTTTGATTTTGTTTTAATAGTTCACTTTAAGAATCAAAGTAGAAAAGCCTTAAGTTCAACTGAAAGTTAATAACAGGGATTGCAAAACCAAGAGGTGGCAAGATCCAGCAGAGAGGATGTCTTCATATCCTTTGGTTAGTTAGTTATATTTTATCTACCTAATATTTCATTTCAGGAAGCAAAACTGTCTCAAGGCAATCCATATTAGAGAGCTCTCTTATGAGTAAGAACATACTAATAAGAATTTATATTACCAATGAGCAAGATTTAATTAAGTTGAAAACATTTTCATCATAAATTTTATAACTGCTTTCCAGATAATATACAATGTCAGGTTTCTTCTTTTACAAGCATAAACAGTCTATTACAACTAACTTTATCTAGAACAAAATAATAATGAAGATGAGTATATCTTTTTAATGTATGCCTAAACCTTAATTCAAAAATAATATAGATTTACATGAGTATGTAGATGATAAAAATAGCTTAAATAAATACCTATGATTTAATAGATATTAATATTTATTTAAATACATTAAATAATGACATTAAACAGTACTGGTCATTTTCTCTAATTAATTATATACTAGATACAATCTTATTGCTTTCCTTTTGAGTATTTGTGAACCTATGGTAAGTCAAGGATGAAATGGAGATTCATCACACATTAAGAGGTAATAAATAAACAAGAAAAAGTAAGAAAGCACTCTTTCTGCTATTAAGAAAACCAGAGCAGGTGTTGGATCACAAGGGATTTTAGACTTGCAGAAGAAAATATGTATTAATATTTGCATTTTGATCTAAATAAAGCTAGTTAAGATTTGTCACTTTATTTCTGAAATGCTCAAAATAACCAATCTCATCACCAAGTCTACTTGAATTTACATAAACATCTAATTTTATAGGCACGTAAACTATCTTAACTACTAAAATAGACTTGCCTTGAAAATAAATGAGTAGACGCTCTAAATAGAGCAGTCAAGCTGTTCTTAGTATGCTCCATGGAGCTGCAAAATGCTTTCATTCTTATATTGATATAAGCCTAAGCTTTCTTGATCTTAAAAAAAAAAAGGTAAATATTCAAAATATCTTACCTGTAACAAGAAAGCTGCATCTCCCTGCTCCAGCTTCATTTATGATGCTACAGTTATAAACCCCATAGTTTTCATTGGAAAGACTCTTCACCAGGTACTCTGTGTATTCTTGTGAGTCAAACTGGCCTGTCCGTAATAATTTATTGCCCAAGCGCCACTCATAGGTCAGCACCCGTATTGGATAGGCTCTCAGGACCCTGCAGCTCATAGTGACACTTCGGTCTTGTCCTTGTCGGATTTCCAGAAACGCTGGTTCCACAGCAGGTGGATCTGTAGAAAGAGATATTAACATAGATAAAATATGTGGTTTGCAATAAGCCAGTGGCTACTCTTACCGTGAGAAGCTATTTTTAAGAACCCATCCAGGAGTATAAGAGGTGGGTGGAGAACGTATTTAGGCCCTGGAATTTCAGCTTGGGTTGGGAAACGTGATTTCCTGAGTGTGGGCGGTGAAGGAGACTCATTGCTTTAACAAAGCATTTGCAGGTGAAACTAGCAAAGTTTATTTCTTCTTTCTAACTGCTTCCTCCCCGCCTCCCCCAAAATGTCATGAGAATGTTTGGTTTATACTGTCAACAATCAAATGATGTTCTGGATATGAAAGCATAGTATCCATACTAGCATGACATTTTGAAGCAGTTCAAGTCAGTGCATTCTAATTATCCCATATGAGGCTCAGTCCTTGGGCTTCTGGGCCACTACTTAATAAAATGGGCAACACAAGTATATAAACTTATTTTCTAAATTATTTGCTCTCAACAAATTTGACTACAGGTCATAATTGTCATTTGTAAATCTTAAGCAACCTTTGCAAATTATACCACAGGTGGATATGGATTTCAATCTATTGCAATGGCTCATTTATCTGGCTTAATTATGATTTTTTCCTATACAATTAAAACTTGTTACATTAGGGACCTAACCTTTATGGTTTTGATGGGAAGATTTCTAAAAAAGTGTCACACATTTTCTCATTATTAAGGGTAGGTAAAATACAGTCTTTTTCTTAATGATGACTCCCAATGGTCATAATAAATTACAATTATTCCCTGGGCTCTAATAGCATGATTCATTTGATCAAGAAAACTGTGTGGAACCACTCAGGATTTTTTTGCTCTCAGAATTACTCAGCACAACACAATCACATCCCTCACTAGATGCATCCAGTGCCCTCTTCAGTTGTGCAGTGTAAAAGTTGTAAAAGTCTACCTGGAAGCCCTTCCTTCAGGACACTAAAAGGTTTTAGGACTACCACACCAAATGAGCTGCCTAATATACTTTACATATTATTCTATTTACTTTCTATAGTATTGCCCTCCTTTCTCATAGCCAGTCTGTTGACTGACCCTTCTTGCTTCTTTCAACAAATACGTTAAAGTTATCCTAAAAATTCTAATTTTATTCATACATTTAAATTTAAGCCCTCTGTATGTAAGTGCTGAGAATAAAAAAATAAATGAACAAGAAGAAAAATACTGTCTGCATGTAGTTTTTGGTCTAACACAATAAATAGACATTTACGTAGCTAATTTACAAAACTGAAGTACAAAGAACAGTTCTAGGGCAGAAACTAAAGAAGTGAGTAACACTCTGAATATTGGCCAGGCAAAAAAGATACTTGAGCTGTGTCTTCCAGAATATACAGCAAATGGTCAAGCAGGTAAGCCATAAGAGAGGACATTCCAGGGAGGAGAAGTAGGTGCAAAGGTAAGGAGGAGATAGTGAGGATAGGGTGTTCAGGGTAGTATAAGTGAATTACCATAACTGGCACACAAAACATGCGTAAGAGCTGCAGAAGAAAAAAAGACAAAAAGCAGGGACTCTATCAAGGATCTTTGAATGTCATGTTATGAGGTGTAATTTAATCCTGATGGTATTGAGGACTGTCTAAAAACTTTTAAATATAGGTTTTATATGATTAAACCAAACTTTTAGAAGGAATACTGTGACAGATAGGAGGAGCACGAACCTCAAAGAGAAGAAACTCAAAGAGAAGGCTTGAACTAAGGTAATGTCATGGGACCACAAATGATGCCTTAGACAATGAGGCAGATAATGGTGTCAGTGACAAAGACAGGGAAGAAAGGAGAGGTAGTTTGGAGTTTGGTGGACATGTGAAATTTGTGCACCTATTAATTACACAGTAGGGATACCTACTAAGAAAGTGTTTATTTTCAAACATGTGAGTTATGTTTTATTATTTCTTTGTTTTGATTTTTTTTTTGCTTAACTGAATCATAGTCGGAAAAACTAGTCCATATGTTTTCAATCCTCGGAAATTTGTTAAACTTATTTTATTGCCCATAATATGATCAGTTTTTGTCCTATATGTCCTCGCAAAGAAAGAGTAGTTTGTAGTTTTGGGATGTGATGTAAATCTACTTGGTTAAGTCTGATAACTACATTGTCCAAATTATCTATATAGTTGTTAGGTTTTGTGGGCTTTTTATTTATTTTTTGCCTATTTATTTCTACTTGGGTAAATTTAGAAGACTTTTAAAATCTTCTAAAAGGGAAGTAGCCTTTAAAAAATTTCTTCTTGTAGTTCTATCTCCTTTTTGGTTTATATATTTTGAGGCTATGCTACTCAATACATACAAATTTAAAATTGCTTTATGTTATCGATAATTTGAAGCTTTTATCATTATGAAATATAATCTCCTTTATCTCTATTAATATTTTATTATTTAAAACTCAATTTGGTCTCATATTAATATAGTTACCTTGCCATTCATTTTGTCAATATTTACATGTTATGGCCGTCCCATGATCTTATACTTTCAGTAACCTTATATATTACAAACACCTCTTATAAATAGCATGTGATTATATTCAATTTTTTTCTTTCACCCAAAGCACTTAGCACATTATTCATTTAAGTTTACTCTAACTACTGATAAATTTGGGCACAAATGTTCCTTCTTATTTTATATTTTCTATATCTTTTGTGTTCTTTCTTTGTCTTCTTTAGATTAATAGATATACAATTATTTACCTTTTTTCCTGCTACTAGTTGGGAACTTAACTGATATGTTTCTATTATTTTATTGATTATCCTAAAGCATATAATGCATACTTAAGTCATCCAAAAACATCAATTAGCACTTTTACTATCTTCCTAGACTAAGTAAGGATCTTGGAACACTTTGCTCCTTTTATTCCTATTCTGATGTATTACTGAGTCATGAATTTTAATTCTTTCTTGTTTTTTTAAAAACCTATTGGGCATTATCACAATTTTATATTTGTGCTAATTTTTAAAAATTACCCAGACATATGCTAGCTTATTTGCCCTTAATTCCTTCTTTCATTATAGACCTTCCAAATATGTCTATGATCACTTGCCTTTAGCCTAAAGTACATCATACAGAATCATCATTAGTAAACTTTCTGATCTTGATTTTCTAAAAATATACTTTTAACCTCTTAAAAGATACTTTCCTTGTACATAGGATTATAGGCTGGCAGTTATTTTCTTTCAGCACATCAGGATATAATTCTCCGGTTTCAGGTGACCATTATTGCTGTAGAGAAGTAAGCTCCAAGTCTCACACTGTGAAGTGAATGTCTTTTTTTCCTCCAGCTACTTTTAAAATCTTTTTGTCTTTGATCTTCTACAGCTTCAATATGATGTTTTTAGGTACAGGTTTCTTTTTACTTACAGGTTGGGATTTGCTGGGCTTCTTAATCTCTTGATTCGGGCTTGGTATCTTTCATCTAGGAAATTTTTGGAACATTCTCACGATTAGCTTTTCAATTAACACCTGTGTTCTTTTCTTTCTATCTTCATCTGAGGATCCTTTTTATTCTGTTTTCCATGTCTCTTAACCTCTCTTCCAAATTTTCCATTTCTCAGGGTTTCTGCCTTGTATTATGAAAACATTCTTCTGAACTAATTTAGTTCATTAATTCTTTATTTAGCTCTGCTTAATCTGCTAAACTCATCCATTGTATTTTTAATTACAATAATGTAGTTTTCATTTATAAATATTTGGTGTAGTTCTTTGGTACACATTTTATAACATTGTTCTGATACTTTCCCATTACCTGTAGCAGTAGTAAGAATTATCTTTAATTTTTTTATATAAATTATTTTATATTGCTTGATATTTCCAAGTATAGTGTTCAGAGTGTTTTTCCATTGGTTTTCTCACAGAGTACCCTGTTTATGTATATTCTTGGTTAATTTTAACTTTGTGCTACACATTGTCCTTCAAAAAACTGTTTTTGAGAAAACTTGATACCTAAGAAGATGGCTTCTTCCTCTAAAGATTTGTGTCCACAGGCAACTACTGGCATTAGTGTCTAGGATCACATCAATACAAGTTCATGGCTTGAGATTTTATTTTAATCATCGAGGTGATATGATTTTGAGTTAAAAATCCACATAAGAGCCAGCTTGTGATTATAACTTCAAGTATCGTTCCCATGTCATCCCACCCTGCTTACTCCAAAGGCAAGTTACTTCGCACTCCTTTTGGAGGAGGAGTGTGAAGACTGGGTTTACTGCTGCTCTACTCCTACCCCGTAGATACAGTTCTTTGAGTTCCAATTTCTATTGGTAGACACTTCCCAGGGGACACTCTGGGTTTGGAGTTCTGCACCCTTTCCCCAGAGATGCCATCAGAACTGAAACTCAAATTTGCCCATATCAGCAAATGTCCTCAAGCCCTCCCTTGACTACCATTGAGTAAAGTAGCTCTCCTACTGTAACAACACAATGTTAGTTACCATTGCACTTGTTACCTACATAGCAATCATATCTGTTTATATAAGCTCCATTACAAGGAGGCTTGCAACTCCCTAGTCATTGCATCATCCTCTGTATCCATCAAGTACCTAGTATTATAGTTAGTGACAAATCATTATTGATTGAATAAATGAATGCATAACTGAATGAATGAATGAATAACAGAAAAGAATAAAGACATCCACAATATCTTCAATATTCTTCTCATCAAGACCTGGATCTATGTTCACCTTGCTAAATCTGGAGGGGCTCTGTGATTATTTTGACCAATAGGATACAGCAGAAATGATGCTGATTTCTAGGCCCAGGGCACAGGAGACAGGGTTTTTCACCTCCTATCTCTTGATATATTCACTCTGGGAGCCCTGACCCATGTAGTAAGTCCAACTACTCTGCTAAAATGATGATGTGAAGGGGCAGATTATATAAACAAGGAGAGGGCAGAGTTAGGCCCAGCCTTCCAGCCATCCCCACCAAAATTTCAGGCATGTGAAGCTAACTTGGACCTTACAGACCAGAC